ACTATACTTGTCCTTTACGTAGATGACATTCTATTGGCAAGTAATAGTTTAGACATGTTGCATGAGTCCAAGCGCTTACTCTCGCGTAATTTTGACATGAAAGATCTCAGAGAGGCTTCTTATGTTATTGGCATCGAAATACACCGAGATAGAGTCAATGGTATTTTGGGATTATCTCAAAAGGCTTACATTGAGCGTGTCCTTACACGTTATAACATGCAACATTGCTCTCCTTCTGTGGCTCCAGTAGTTAAGGGAGATGTTTTCGATTTATTTCAATGTCCGAAAACAGAGGTTGAAAAAGAACAGATGAGAATGATACCTTATGCGTCAGTAGTAGGAAGCCTTATGTATGCACAAGTCTGTACTCGTCCAGATATCGCTTGCATTGCTGGAATGTTAGGTCGTTATCAGACCAACCCTGGTCTGGATCACTGGAAAGCAGCTAAGAAAGTTCTTTGATATCTACAAGGGACAAAAGACTATAAACTGACTTACAGAAGGAGTGATAATTTAGAAGTGGTTGGTTATTCTGATTCTGACTTTGCTAAGTGCAAAGATGACAAGAAATCCACTTCAGGGTATATCTTTATGTTAGATGGCGGACCTATCTCGTGGAAGAGTCATAAGCAAGAGTTGACTGCAACTTCTACAATGATGGCAGAATACATTGCGGTGTACAACGCAACCTGTCATGGGATGTTGCTTAGAAATCTTATCACTGGACTCAAAGTAGTTAATTCCATCTCTCGACCATTGAAGCTTTATTGTGATAACTCAGCCGCCGTTAGTTTCTCGAACAGTAATAGTTCGACTGGCGCTGCTTTATATCTTGATACAAAGTACTTGTTCGTACGTGAGCGAGTTGAAGAAAATATACTTTGTATTGAGCATATAAGTACTAAGAATATGCTAGCGGATCCGATGACTAAAGGTCTCCCTCCTAAGATTTTCGAAGAACATGTTTCGAAGATGGGGTTATCTAAAGACCTTATTTAGTTGCATATTGTACTTGCTTACATTTAATAATAAAATTTCCTCATTGTTTTGTTTGTTTTGTCTCTGAATGTGTCTATGCATGCCTAAAGACATATAGACAACATTTATATACAAAATAATGTTATGCGCTTAATTGTCAATTTGATCCTTAGCTTATTTAAGTTCTAAATTTGGTATTGTAGTATGATTAATGGGGGTCTTGAATTGAATATCGATTCAATGACTGTATTTCTCTGCTACAATTTCGGTTTAGAACTAAAATGAGTATTAAAATCTGATCACACTTATCTAATACTGATCATAAATGATTACTCGACCAAGTGGGAGAATGTTGGACACGATTTTATTATGTGGCCTGAGTTATCATTTATCTAATTTATTGATCATTGACTTAATAAATACCCTACGTATTTATTTGGTAATTATTCGATGGACGTAATTACCCTTACGACCTAATTAGGGTTTCCCCTTGGGTGTATATATAGAGGTCATTAGGCAGAGATCAGAACACACCAAACTTACGCCTCCTCTCTGCCTCTCTATTCTCGTGAGTCATCCTCACCTTAGCCATCATAACGATACACCCTAAACGGGAACTCGATCTTCATCAGTATCATGGCCTCATCCCTAACTACGTTTACAGGATTATCAGGTACACATTATTTAATTCCTGATTTATATCTTTTATGTTTAAGAATTGATCAACATAATATTCTCTTATTTTCTATTTTTTTCCCCAAAATGGAGAGAAAGTTTAAATAGTAGCTCCATCCATTTCTTTCTTTCTTTCTTTCTGTTCTTTCTAATATTTAAGAGTGTTCTTTCTAATATTTAAGAGGAAAATCATGCCAGGAGATCACCACTTTACACAACAATTAATTTTAGTAAGAGAAATTTGACTAAATATTATTTCATACTAAAATATAGTGACTATCTTAGTGTAATATGATATATTTTTATTACCTAATGTAGTACCACTGTTTAATGTATCATTGGTCATTGTTCAAATAAACATTATTCATAATGAACATTGTTTCCCACATTAAACATTATTGAGATACTGGAGTATTATTTAGATAAATAAAAAAGTGTAAGTAATTATACTCGGTATATTTTAACCATTAATAATGCAAAACGTAAACATTGTACTCCACGACGGCGTTTCCGGTGGTGAGATCATAAATGCGAGTCTTCGCCTGAGCATAGCCGCGAGCGAACCGGAAAAGCCCAGTCCCGCCGACAATCGGCATCTCCCTCACGGCGGAGGACACGGCGTTTCTTCCCAGCACACTCAGGCAGCTTCCGCGGTACTTCCCACCCACGAACGCGAAGTTGAGAACCATCAACAATCCGACCTCGTCGACGGCGGCCGACGCGTACACCCCTTGCGCCCGCCCGACGAGCCTGGACGAGAGGTTCGGGCCGGCGGTCAGTGGGTCGTCGACCACTGCCATCATCCCGAACCCGGTGGCGGATTTGTTGGTGGCTGCGGCCTGGGCTACCTTGACGGCGGTGGGGTTTTCGCCGGCGACGATGTCGTGGAAGAAGAAGCGGAGGTGGCTTAGCTTTTCTCTTTTAAGTCCCATTGATTCCTTTGAGATGATTGTTGAGAATTCATGGTAGGAATTTGCAAAGGGGATGGAATTTGAAAGAAAGACAGATATGAAGAAGGAGAAGAAGATGGAAAGGTTGAATTTTGGGAAGGATTTGGCCATAGTGATCAAAGAATGATGCTAATTTGCATCTAATATTTGATGAATTTGGTGTTAATTTAAGTAAAGAATGAATCTGCACTTAGTCTTTGTTGGATTAACAAATTTTGTTGGATTGACAAATATTCCCGCCGACAATATGTGTGACACATGTTTGGGATTGATGTTTTAAATTTGTTTTAGATAAAAATCTTAATTATAAAAACAATGTTTTTTCCCAATAAATGTTTTATTTAAATCATAATATCATTACGCAAAGCAATACAAATGTACGATGGGGGCGTTGGCCTCCATTCGAAAGAATCAGGCATATAATCAGATGTTCTAGCTAGCAAGTGAACATCTTGATTCGTTGAGCTTTTAAGTTTTAACAAACGACCAACATCAAAGAAACTATGTCGTTAAAAGCAAACAATCTCTAACTCTTCTTAGATACAACAAGCCTTGATTTGCCATATGTAGGGCTAAAAATAATGTTAAAAATATTATCTTTATGACATTGCAAATGGCCTCTAAAAATAATGTTAAAAATATTAGCTTTAAACTTTAAGATGTTGCAAATGGTCTATTTTCTCTAAAAATTGTTCATATTGAGATGTGTTCTTGGTTAATCATAGTGTAACTTGTGGTGTATCGTGTTTAATGGATGGAAGTTTCAAAAATTTTAAATTTTTAAAGAGTAATTTCATAATTGGTTCTTTATAACATGAGGTTTTCCATATTTGATTCTCTATTATTAAATATTACTCTCGTAGTACTTCTTTTATGAGCAACTTTTCACAAGTAGTATTTTTTTTATTTTTGCCATGTTGGAATATATATTTAAAGACTAAAAGTATAATTTGACATCAAACTTATGTAGTTATGTCTAGTGATATATTCTGATCGTGGTTGTTAAGTCGACAAGTCGAGTCGAGTCGGTGACGGGGAGACTAGTGGACTAGGCGACTAGTCGTAGACTAGTCGACAACTCACAATTAGTATTGAAAATTTTAACATTATATATATCTACATTAACCCAACATGAATACACACACACACGATTGAACCGTCCTATGCCACCATTTATTTGTTTGGGGCATAATGTACACTCCAGATTTTTTTGTTCATATTTGGCCAAAACCCATATTTCCATCCGGGATCATTGGAGCTGGCTTTTCGTTTGGGGTCCTTGGATGGATCGTCTTCGTAGTCGCGGATATTATTATCTCTCATTTGTTCTGAAATAATTATTAAATCAAGTTGGTGAATATGACGTTCCGGCAACTAAACAAAAACAAGAGCCTAGAACCCTTAAAATATTAAAATAAGAAATACAAAACCAAAATATTAACTGAATTCAGAAAAAAATTGAAATATTAAACTGAAAAAAACTGAAATACTAAAATACTAGAATAAGAAAAAACCAAAATATTAA